GGCGGTCGAGTTTGGAGGGATAGAGCAGCGCGTTTTGCAGTCCTTTTAGACTGACTCAGAACCAGCCACCTTAGTTATTCGCAACCATCAACCTCTCACAGGGAAACCCTTGCTTCTTGGATAGGATGTTTAGGGATATGTTCCGAGCCAAACAGCAGACACATGTTGTTGAGAGTTGTCTTGCCCCTTTTGGACAGCCAAAGCCAACAAGCACACCATTAATCCATTTTTTTGCCGCAACAAATCTGGGTCAATATTTTTGGTATCACCTTACATCTTGCGGAAAGGAGAAAAGACAAGGTTGGTCTCCTGTTAGGGTTGATGGACTCGGACAATGGCCTGCACGTGGATTGGCAGGCAAGGGTGCATGTTTTGTTCTCTGAGTTTCTCTTGAAGCATAAAACAGAGGATAGCCAAGAGTTTTCAGAGAAGCAAATTCCCGATGCGAGGATCTACGTGTTGGCCGTGATCACCATGACCTTTGCCTCCCTGCTCTACGTCTGTGAGCCCAGGACCTTCGCCAACTTCACTTCACGCAGAGAGCTCGGTGTTTTGGAGTACGTATCTCCATTCCCCCTTGGTTGATCTGCCAGACTAGATCCCCCAGAAATGTGCCCTTTCTAACCCGTTTCTTTTTTGGTTGGGAGGGTTCCCCGACAAAAATAGACTACAGAAAAAGGGCACCCTTATTCCAACCTCACTGGAGGACCTAGCAGATCTCCAGTAGCTTGGATAGAAGGAAGGTAGGCACTTTTGTTTCAAGCAATCTTGTTTCAGGGGCCCAGTCCAATGAAAGGGCTTTCAGCTCCGGGGTCAGTACTTCCGGCTGGGGGTGGGGGGGTTTGATTCCAGTCCTACAGTGTGCTGCCCTTTGCTGTTTTTGTTTGTGCGGGTTTCCCTTCAAACTCCACCAACCCGAAAAAATGCGGGCCCCTGCTTTTCTCATGGCCGTCTGTTTTTGCCAGCAACAAGGGTGGCCAACCAGAAGAGGTCCTTGCACGAACAAACGAGCTTCGGAACTTGCCAAAGGTTGGGAGGGAGCAAACGCGTCTTCTCATTTTTGTATTTTTATTTTTATTTTTAAATAATGAAAGGAAGTGTTGGCCTCATCGCGGTTTGGATTGGTGGGGGGTTGAACCCCCCACCCTGGAACACCTCCAAACCACCGATTCGGCCACACCCCAAGCCACCGGGCCCCCAAACCACGCCGAAGATGATGATTTCCAGGTAGCCCTTGTCTTGCTGGCGTGATAGGCAGGAAATGAGGGAATGTACTCTGGGGTTGCCCAAGGAAGCCACAAGGGATGGTTGATAGGGGTCATTCCCATAGGTGTCCTTTTTGGTTGTTTTGATAGAAAAAGAGATGGCGATTCCTGGTTTACCTGGTGGTTGAATCATCTACCAGGGAAACCCATCTATTTCCCCTAAAAGGACACCTATGGAGTCATTCCTTCTCCCTTTTTCTGAGCCAGTAAGTGGTTTGGGAGGAGCAACATCCCAGACTGGCCCACCGCGCTGTGGCTCACTGTGGTCTCCATGACCGGCCTGGGCTATGGGGATCTCACCCCCCAGACCGCGCTGGGCAAGGCCTTTGTGCCCTTCGACGTGGGGAGGGACGTGGGGGGGGACACTGCATTCTCCACAAAATCTAGGGAGGTGGTTGGGGAGGTGGTTGTGGTTGGGGAGGTTTTGTTGGGGAGGTGGTTGGACTTTCCCATGCCCGTTTTGGAAACTGCTGGTTCTGGGGTTGAGTCAATAATCCGTTCGGCTCCCAAATGACCATGGGTAACTTTTCCCATTTAGTGGTTGAAGTATCATTATTTTAGTGGTTCTCCCCAATGGTCGTCCCACGCAAAGGACCTTTTGATCAACTTCCAGGTGAGTCACGTCCTCAAAACCAGGGTAGATTAGATCCGGCTTTTCAATTCTTGAAGCATGGTTCTGGGTAGACCATTCTAACACCGGGTTTTGATTGTGACTCACGTGGTTGCCTTTTGTTTGCCTGTGTCCCCTTACCATCAGACCCCTGTTCTGAGAAGCAAAAGGAAGCCATTGCGTTCCAAATCTCCTTCTGACACACACCCTTCGGCCCTTTTTGGTGGTCTCCAGCACCAGCTTTTGGGACGCAAGGTGAGTTTCCTTTGATACTGTGGATGGTTGCGAAATCCGTTTCGCACCACCGTTCACAGACCCTGGAATGATGATTTCCCTGTAAATACTAACAAACAATGGTTTTCAGTACTTTCAAAGTGGTGCGAAATGGATTTCGCAACCATCCACAGTAGGGGTGATGCTGCAAGTGGGAAGCATAGGGAGCGTCGCAGGCCGAGGGCTTCTGAAAGTGAAAGAACTCCCGGTTGATCCTTTACATCCAGCTGCCTTCCGTCTCATCTGCTCGCCCGAAGGTGTGCCACATTCGCTTCTAAATCAGCGGTCAACGTTAGAACCCAGTGGATTTATAGGGTTTCAACGCAGTGGGTTCCCGTTTGAACGGGTTGCACGATGACTCAAAATCAACAAGTTCACTTCTCTTGGGTTTCTATCCTGCTCCGAAGTGACTCAACCAGTCACTCACAAAGACTTTGTTACGACTTTTTTTCGCTTGCGGCGTCTTTTTGGAAGCTCGCTCGGTTCGAGCGACTCAGGTCCATTCTGATCATCGCGAGCCTCCTGTATCTCACCGCATGCCCGAAGCCGACTTTTTGAACCTTTTGGTTTCCCTGATTTGGTCCGTATTTTGTCAAGGCTCCAAACAAGGTGATCGCCTTCTAGTTTCAAGGTCCGTTGCTGTGGTGAGGTGGGCATGGGTCAATTGAAACCACCAGCGGACCGCAGGGTTTGGTCCATGTTTCCACTTACCAGGGCAACCCATTGGGGTACATAGTTTTGACCCACAGCCAAATGATTCATTTCCTCAACCACGTTCTTTTTTCTCAGGATGATTCCCTCCTTAGCCCTTAAAGGTGAGCTTATTTATACTGGTCAGGTATCTTTGAACCTTCTGGTTTCCCTGATTTGGTCCGAATTTTAGTCAAGGCTCCAAATAAGGTGATCATCATTTGTTTGAAGGTCCGGTTGCCGTGGGTGAGGTATCTGTCCATCCCGCAGGTTTGGTCCATGTTTCCAGGTTTTGGTTTTGGTTCCATTTCGGGTGAGGTATCTGTCCATCCCACAGCCAGGTATTTGTCCGCGTTGAGTCAAGGCTCCAAAAGGTGATCATAGGGCATCTCATTTTGACCCACGAGGTATCTGTCCATCCCCTTCGGCATCTTGGGCAGCGCGTTCACCTTGGCCTGGGGCCAGAGGAGCGCGGTGCTGGCCGTGCGGAAGCTGCGGAAGCATCTGGCCAACCATGGCTTCACGGCCAAGGACCTGTTTCCAATACGGAAAGCCAGCAGAAACCGATGGAACCCTATGGAAGCCTATGGAAACCTATGGAAACCTATGGAAACCGATGGAAACCGATGGAACCAATGGTGTCCAATACAATTGTAAAGCATTCTACAAGAGGATTGGCCCACCTGAGATGGAAGGAGGCCTCCTTCTGGTTGTACATGATGCTCCTTTTGTCGCCCCCCAAAATGGCAAGGGTTTCATTTTGGTCACCTGTTTCACACAGGTACCCTCACAAAAAAACAAAAACAAAAAACAATTAACACAGCCATTTTTTGGTGTTTTCGTTTTTCCCCAACTCCAGGATGTGCCGAAACTCTTGAAGCATTTCGACTTGAATCACGATAGCGAGATTTCGCTGGTGGAGTTTCGTACGATGATGAACCATGTGATGATCGGTTTGAGAGACAAGGAGGTCATCGAGCTCTTCCAATCTTTGGACTTCGAGCAGCAGGGGGTCATCGCGGCATCATCTTTCCTCTCAATGATCTTTCCCAGGGCCTATGAGGAGGAGATGTATCAGGTGCCCATCATCACTAGAAAGCCTCGCTTGCTGGTGTGATTCCGAGTTGACTCAAGCTTATGGCTATGGGCCAAAGAAGAGCGGTAGGTGACCAATTTGCGGCAGGCCCGCTCACTCGTTCCTGGCCCTGCCTCCTGGGTCCACAAACTGGCGTGCTCAAAACGTTTCGTGAGGGGTGCTTCTCTCGAAAGCGCCAGGTCAAGGGTAATTTTGAGGATTTTGAACGGCACCAGTATTTTATTTTGGAGCCAATGCAATCTGCATGGTGCTCTCGTGAATTGATGAGAGACATCGCTTTGCTGTCCTGGACAGACCCGGCCAGGGCGGGGTTTGAAGTTTCACTATGCCCAAGGCATTGTGCGGAAGAGGAGTGGTGGGCTATGCATGTGTGAAAAAGGATGCCGCGTTGTAGCATGAGAGAAAGGGATGAGAGCAAGCATTGCGAATGGGGACATGACTCAAAATGACCAAAGTTTTTTGCTATGACAGAGGGCCAGACATGTCGCAAAGCAGGCTGAATTTCAAGTTCAAAAGCTACCCGGTTTGGGTCCAACGGAACCCTTCCCGTCCCATTCTTGCGCTTCCCGGCCGACACCTTGGTTTTTTTTAAAGCTTTTTGGGTTTTCCGTTTCGCCCCAGAAAAAACAGGTCACTTTTAGCAGGGAATCAGACACCGGACAGCCCAGTTCAACCAAACCCGAGCGGCTTCGAAGAGACCTCGGCAGTGAAACTCGGAGCTTTCCGAGATCTTTTTGCGGGTCTTCAAGACAGGGGACCGCATGGGTGTTAGGGGACCTCCAAAGTGGCTGGTAAGGGTTACCAAAAACGGCAGGGCCGTGAATGAAAACGGATGTGGATGCTTCCCATCCAAATCCTTTAAAGGGAAACGAGGATCTTTTGTGCCAAGGTCCCAAAAAAGGCCATATTTCAGACAACCGTATGCGTGTCCTAAATTGGGGCACCCCAAAAAAGAGGTTGGTCTCTTTTTGGCTTCCCTTTATACCAAAGGTACCACCTCAGAAACTGATAGACCCCCCGAATGGAACCCGCTAGGTTTTCAGCCTGGCCCATCCTTTCCCTTCAGGCGAAGCCTCAGGTGAAGCCGAAGGAGCGATCGGGAGATCGGGAGATGGGCGAAAGTCTGACTGGAGGCTCCAGGTTCTTTTGGGTCAAAGTGTTTCCCAGGGGGTTCAGTTACCACCATCAAAAAGAGTGGTTGGGTTAATAGAACCATCATTCTTTGCCTCAGGATTGTCAGCATCTAAATTGGGTCCCCTTGGGCCATTCTTGCAATGCGGGTTGAACATTACATTTTGTGGTGTTGGGAAGTTTTTTTTGGAAAACCTGTCGGGGGGTTTTGAGGATGGGCAACCAGCTCTGACGCCCCTTTTGATCCGGGCAGGACGAGGGGCCCTTCTTGAGGGGTGAGACGACTTGTTTTGAGTGGCCGGAGGAAAGTGGAGCGAGCTCTTATCAGCGTCCTCTTAATTGGCGGTTTGGATTTGTGGCTTGGGATTTGAACCCCCAGTTCCTTTTGAAGCCAAATGAAGATAGCCCCGAACGTCCAAATTATCAAGCCAAACCACCAGGTAGTGGAAAGCTGATCTGACACTTTTTCAAGTCCTTGCCGTTTTCCTCCAATGCCAAACCCCCCCAAAACCTGTGATACCGCTGACGGGAAGAGGGGTTGGCTGGGAGGTGTAGCCTGAGTGCAGCAAGACGGAAAGATGAACAAACGGCCCCATTCAAAGATGTCATTCACATGGGGTCATGTCATGTTCAAAATGGCTGAACCAAGCATCGTTTGAAATGAACACACATGATTGACACCTTCGAACATGATGTAAACAATGGTCCATTTTGACGGGACACATGAGAACAACATGCCATTGACACTGGTGGATTCAAGGAGTGTTCACAGGTTCTGGCGTGTTGCTCCTTTTTCCCAGTCGCACCTTCTTGTTTGACAAGAGCTGGTGGCTTGGCTTCCTTGCCACACTTGTAGAATGACACCCGATTTTCCATGTTGGCTGTGGTGCCTTTCCGGGCTGTTTTTCAGACTTGGGCATGCAGCATGGGCAACCGCAATATTATTATTATTTTTTTGGGGGGGAGGAAGGGTGTGTGTGTGTGTGTGCTACTTGTTTTTCTTCTTTTTTTTTTCTTCTGAGACCGCTGTTTATATTTGTTTTTTTCTCCGACCATGTCTTAGGCCCCCCACTACTGGGCGGTTTGTTTTGGTGGTTTGGGGATTTGGAATTGAACTTTTGGTGCGCAAATGAGAAACCAACCTTCTCGCTCCAAACCACCCTCAATCCAATTGAGGTGACTGAAGGAGCGGCCACGCGCAAGTGACCCTGTTTCGCTTTCCCCAAAGTTTCGGTCGATCGATTCGACATGGGAGGAGCCCAAGAGGCCAAAACCGCCGAAGGCTCCGAAGCCGCCGAAAGCGGCGGCGCAGACAGGCGGGCTTCGGAGATGGGTTCGCAGGGAACAGGAGATGGGTTTATTTCTGTTTAATTTTTTTTCAGGGGAGGGGGCCCACCAAAATTTTGGTGTTTTTCCCGTTGGTTTCCATTTTTCTCCACCAAAAAGGGGGGGGGACCAGGCAAGCCACCCATGCGCCTTTTTTTGCGTCAGGCCATGGACGACTCGAAACGGTTTCTTGGCATCCAACCCTTCAAAGCTCAATACCATAAGCGTCCTTTTTAGGTTAGTTTGATTAAAAATAGACGGGTTCCACTGGTTTAGGTGGGGCTTCTTCCATCTACCAGGGCCATCTAGTTTTCCAAAAGGCCACCTATGCTCAATACCCTACGGTTGCACATCAGACACGTTCCGGGCTGTATTCACTTCCCCCTGAGTTTGGTTGTCCACTTCGAGCGTGCCGTGGGAAGCGATCTTGCGCCGAGTGAATGTCGCGTGCGGATCCGGAGTTGGCCGAAAACTGTTGAGACGTCATAGCTTCTTGCCACAGGTGGCGTTAGGGACTGGAGCGAAACCTGGAAGTTGTTTTTGGGACCCTAGGGTTCAAAGACATCTTCCGAGAAAACCCGATCTAGACGAAGAGGATTCCTTAGGTAAGCAAAAACGGTGGTCATATGAAGCCCCATGAAAACCAAATGGCGGCTTGAACTGGGCAGATGTTGTTTTTTCGGGGAATGCGACCTGCGGGTGCGAATCGAAGCCCATGGGGCCCATGGCAGGAAAAGCGCAGAGTTTGGACGAGGCCTTGGGAACCCGCTGGCATTCAGGTCGCTTTGGGCACCGATTTGGAGAAACGAAAAGCCCAAGGCCTTGGTTTCAGGTCTACGTGGTTCGGATTGGTTTGGGACATTTGGAGTTGAAGGCTCTTGTGAACGGGAATCGCGAAAGCTTCCAAGCCACGATGCTGAAGCAGATGCTTTGTGGAGACTGGACATATTGCGAAGAGTGGCGGCTGCAAGACTGGTTTGGGTTTGGGCCATGCGGATTTTCCGAGAGCTCGACTGAACGAGGACGACGACGACGAGCTCTTCGACGTCGAGGAGTTGGAGGGTGAAGAGGAGGTCGCGTGGCGTCCGCGGTGGGTGGAGACCGAGTTTTGTTGCCGCAGGTCTCTGACTCCTCCGAGGAAGGCGGGTGGGAAGCAGGGAAGGAAGACATTCTATTGTTGACCCCATACTAATCAGCCAACCAGTTTATTCGTAGAAGGGTGGTTTTTGGCCCCTCCAAAAGTGATTCCTCACCATTCACCCAGGGACATTTCCCTATTAATAAACCGGGTCAACATTAGAGGTAACTCTTCGATTTCTTTCCAGGCATCCTTCCTTTTGGCAAAAACGTACCCTCTCTCCCACTATCATGTCACGTCCCGTGCAAGAGGAACCTGATCTTCCAGTATGCCACCCCTGCCATGCTGGGTGGAAGGGTAAGAGATCGAGCTCCTGCCGGAGCCAAAGTTTGGTTGACCTTGAGAGGAGCCATCCAGAAATGAGGTTTCCCTGGGAAGGACACATCTCAGACCAAGAGGCGAGCAAGAGCGGTGTGTGCTTGTTCTGCAGAAGACGCCGCCGATGAAGATGACGAGGAGGAGGCAATTCTCTTTGAGCCATGTGAGAGGGAGCCCAGGTCATTCCAGTTGCAATTGGCGATCAGCTGGTTTTGGAGGGTTGGTCCCATGGCAGACGGGTATGTGTCAAAATGGTGGTTCGTCAAGCCTCCAAAACAAGAGACACCTAAATGGAGCTCACGCGCAGTTTGCCTGGGAACCCGTGGGAGCTCTACAGATGCCTCAGGCGCGACAGATGGTGCAGCGGGCCAACATTTTGTGTATTTGGCTGTGGGTCAAAACCAATAGTACCATTTTGGGGTAGGTGCACCACCCATTTTAGTCTGTTTTAGTGGGGATTGGGATGTTCACTAGGGGACACTTCGATTTTCATTCTTTCCAGGGATCCGAATCTTTCCAGAAAACCTCCGGGAACCCCAGGAGAAACAGCGATCGGTTTTTGAAAGAACGATGGTTGAGAAGAATGGGGAATCAACCCTTAGATTATTGAAGAGTTGGCACCCGCCTCAAAAGGGGTAGCCTGACCTTTTCAGCCCCCACTTGACTTCCGTCTACCATTGCGGGTCCCGACAATTGTTCACTTCGTGCGGCCAGGAGAAAGCACGTTCCCAACAGAAGGACATCCTTTCTGAAAACCATGTGAATCAACCAGAGGTTGAAGACAGGGTCGATATTATTTTCTATCCCCGAAAGCTCCATATTTTCTTTTTTTGGTAAATACCGATCCCTTTCTTAGTAGAGGGTTGACAGGATGCCCCAAAAGAAGAGCGGGTATTTGGAGTAGGGGGGAAGGGTTGATTCCTTTTCTATTCTTTTCCCCCATCCTTCTACTTGCAGAAATTACCAATCTTCCCGGCGGCGTGGAAGCCCCAACTTTTGTTCGAAGAAGTCCCCAAAGAGAATGGGGAAGGTACAACTCGAATTATACTTGATTCGGAAGGACGGAGACCGCCCAAACTCCTCACCCAGCATCTGAGAGATGGGTTGATCTTCTAGGGCAGGTCCTGGCGGTTTCACCAGCCAAGTAAAGTAGGACAGAACCCTTCAGTTCCTGCCTGGCTTCATGAGGGTCATGGTAAGGGAGTCTACACTTCGCAATCAGAGCAGAACCAAACGTCAGCCTGGGTTTTAGGCTCTGCTCAAGTGGTGGACAGCACTACTACATCTCTCGCTCGATGTGGGTCCTAAGACGTACCGACGGATCCATGGTGCGCAGAAGAAACTTTTGGACGACGAAACCCTTCCAAAACTAGAAGGCTTTGTCTATGTACCAATGTGAACCATGAAACCCGGCACGTCCGGGTTCTCACCAAACAGGATACCGATCGGTTTTGATGGTGAGTGGCCAAGATTCGGGTGGGGATTTATGTCCACCAACCACTGTGAGCGGGTTGTGAGAACAAAAAGCGATGGCCAAATGTGTGTGCATGTGTCAAAATAGGAAGTCGCACCGTGGGTTTCCCTTTGACTTTCCGTGTTTGCCGACACCAAAAAGGGCAACCTCCCAAGAAAACTCCTGCCTCGAACTTTGCAGGTGTGGTCCGGTGCGCACAAGCCCGGAGAGAAGGCGGGGCGGTAGCTTTTTCGTGAGAAACGCAAACAGCACCTCTCCGGGGTCTCCGCAACGTTCTTTTATGGGTCGAAACATATGAACGTATCAAACATCAGAAGACAACGTTTATTTCAAGTACCCGAAATGTCTGTGGGCCGAGTTATGTAAAAAAGCTGTAGACCGGTATCAATATATCTGATTTTCAGTGTCCAAGATTCAGAGTGGGATTGGAGTTTCCCAATAAGGGAACCGTTTTCGCGTTTCGCGGTTGGAGTGGCTTGGAGGTTTGTGCTAAAGGGACCCCTGGTTTGTGCGTTGCTTAGCTGGACCTATTATATAAGGGTACGATTCTCCGCCAAGATCTTTGTTTTGCTGCAGGCAAACCAACAAAGACGTTTTGAGGCTTGAGCTGTCCTTTGGACTCCCAAGGCCTACAGTGCATCGGTGTTCGCGCTTGCGAGTTCTTTTGCATGTAACGGGGCCCACTGAACTGCCCGCCAAGTTCAGCTCGTTTCGAAACGAGCCATGGACGCTCAAGGTGTCAGGGGTGCAGGGGTGCCAGGCTTTGTCTCAAACCGGCAGAATAGCAGCCGCTTTGGTTCAATGTGGGGCCAAACCGAGGGGCGTGATCTCCTTTGTTCTGGACACCAAAGTGAAGCCAATGTTGGAAGTTTTGCCCAGGTTAAGTTGCTTCAACCACAAAACACTAAAGGGACTCACACTCATTTTCAAATGGGCTTGTTTTGAAATGATGCACGCCCCACAATGGGTGTTTTCTATGCTGCTTCCATTCAAGCAAATCCAACAAGGGGTTCCCCAAAAAAGGACAGACTCAAATTTGAGGGTAACCCTTTTTGTGTGGTCATTTTTTTGAGGGGCCCCTAAGAACATACCACGCTCAGTTTTGCGAGCCGCAGCCTCAAATGGCCATGGGTCAAAATCCCGTACCAGTGAGTTCATCCCACTCCAAGCACAAAAATAGGAAGCCTAGAATGGGTGGTGAGTTTCACCTACCAACCTCCAACCACAAACATAGGTTCTAAAATGGGTGGGTGAAGTTCACCTTCCCACCAAAATGGGATCCCGAAACGGTTTTGACAACCACAGCCAAATTTGAGTCTTCGGCATGGCGACCGCTTTTTTTTTTTTTGCGTGTCGACGAGGCCTTCGCAGCCTATGCCTCCAGATGCCTGGCGCGGGGTCCGAGAGAGACAGTTCTCGACGGGTGTCGGTAAAAATGGGCCGCTCATGTGCGTGTGTGTTTTTTTTTGGGGGGGAACTGCTTGTTGGGTGGGTGAAAAAAAGGGGGAGCCACAAGGAAAACCTATTTTTGTTGGCACTCTTTTCAGGTTGGTTTAAATGGGAGCCCCAATCTTGCTTTGCCTTGCCTTGCCTTGCCTTGCCTTGTCTGCTTGCTTGCTATTTTTTGTTGGAAGGGTGCCCTACTCTTGAAGGGGCGAAGGAAGACTCCCACTCCATCTGTCCCCTCAGGCCAAGGCGGGGCTGGGAACTGCGGACAGCCCCTTCGCCGGCTTGAAGATGCGGCTCCACCAGGAGAGGGCCGCGTCTCGTTTTTTTTTTTTTTTTTTTTGTTGTGTGTGTTTCTTTCGGGTTTCGACCTCCCGAGGTGTTCCTTCAGATCAACCCGAACCCTCAACAGAAGTCCAGACGCATTTGTGTGTGGCTTTTTTTTGTTGGGGGTTGTTCAGTCCAGACAAAGTCGTTGTTTTCTAGGCCTAGATTGGTGGGACCCCCCGCAAAAATGGTGGACATGATTCTAGGTGGCTGTTCAGTCCTCCAACCACCAAATGGGTGGCTCGTGTTTTTCCAGGTTTTCCTTTCGGTTTCTTTCCCGAAAAACAGTAGAGCCGCCTGGGCCATTTCCTGGGGGTCTGTCCTCCTTTTGAGTTGGCACCCTCTTTTTCTTGGCGGGTTTCAAAGAGGGAACACCGAAATCCATCTTGGAATTGAACCACCCAAAAAGGAGACACGAGAAGCCTGCTTTGTGTATCATCACATTTACAAAAAGAACAAAGTGTTTTTTTTGGCTGCTGAAGCTCCTTTTACACAAATAACCGAGTGTCCCTTTTTAGTTGCCTAAGAGTTTTCCAGTTAGAGACCCCCCAAGATTGGAGCTGCAGGAGTCTGCGTCCTTCCTGCTGCACCCGGAGAGCCCCGTCACCCGGCTGCTGGTGGACCACGCCACCGGCACTGGCAAGGCGGGATCGATGGAGTCCCGAGCCTCTCATGCATACTGTGGATGGACGAAATCCATTTCGTACCACCGTTCAGAAACCCTGGGTTCTGGTGATTCCCCTGCAAATACCAACACAGTAGGGAGGCGTCCACATCAAGAAACCATGTTCCATGGTTTATCCCGGGTAAATTGAGAACTTGCGTATACAAATATATGTATATATATATATATATATGGTGGACGCCAGAGTTCAGTGGGGGATAACAAGGTGCGCCAACATCTCGTGTAAAGCCCACTCAAATTCATTCCTTCTCAACAGGGGGGCCTTCATTTTCAGCTGGCGCGACTGGTTTTGGGACCTCTTTAGGTAATGAAATAACTGTAATGAAGGTGGCCCCTGAACCCTTGCGTGTGTGTCTGGTATTGTTTTTTTGAGTTGTTTGAAGGGACGGCGACGGACACCGGCCGCTTTTTCTTTTCTTCTCCCAGGTCCTTGAGACAAACCCAGGCCCCAAGCTTCCCAAGACCGCGCAGCGAGCTTTCGAGAAAGGCATCGGTGGATTTGAGGAACTCGGAAGCTCATCGGAAGGTGGCTCCTTTCCAGTTTCCCCAAAGCACCAGTTCAAAATCGAGCGAGTCAAATACCCACCCCCATTTTTTTTTAAACATATCCTCGTGACATTTTTCAGGGAACCTGACATGGTGAGCGAGGCATCGTCTCCTTCCCCCAACTGTGCACCTCGCGCGGAAGGTCGAAATCACACTCGTTTTTTTTTTCTTCTTCTTTTTTGTTCTTCTCCTTTTTCTTTTTTTTTCTTCTCGGATTTGAACTCCCGAAGATGGCGGGGTTTGGCCGTTGGCTTTCCGATTTCAAAAGCCGACACTGAAAGGGGTGACCAACTCCAAACAACGACTCATGTTCCAGTCCAAGCAGTCGTGGGGGAATGCGGAGAACGTTTTTCTCCCCCCCCCCCCCCCGTTTTCCACCCCCCCGTTCCTCCCCCCACGATTTCCCCCCGTTTCGGTTCAGTTCGCTCTGTCAGACTCTCATCATGCTCCGAATCCTCGACAACTACTTCGACGATGCCAGGCCGAAGGCAGGAGATGGTGAGCGAAGGGCTCTGGAGCACTCGATCTTCTCCGATTCATTTTCCTGAAATCGAAGCTTTGTGTTTAATAACGCCGTCATTTGAAGAGGAGTTGTGTGTTTCTTCCTTTCGTTTTAGCGCCGTCATACTTTCGAATCCATTTTCTTCCATTCCTGTCCGTTCTGTCGCCAATTAATGGATTGGGAAAGAGGTGCCACAGCATGAAGAGAGAAGGAATGGACTGGGGAAGCGACGGGCCCTTTCTAGAGTATTCATCGGGTCACGCCCGTCACTCTCTGTCTCTCCTCCTCACTCTCGTTCCAAATCCATTCCTGCATCTGGGGTTTTTGAGAGTGAGAAGAGAGGTCTATTTTCTCATCTCCAAGTTACTGGTAGAATAGAGAGGGGTAGATGGAGAGGGAGAGCCAGAATCTCATTCCATTCCCTTTACCTTGGACAAAATGAAGGTAGATTTTGAGTGGATCCCGGGTTTTCTGGACACCATCTACTGACTTGGGAAGCGGGTTTCAGACGAGCCTGGTTTCAGAAGAGCCATAAAAAAGAGTTTGGGGGAAGGCATCATGAGGTATACCGAAGGGGTTTTCTTGTGACTTGGTGACTGGAACTGGGCCATGCTCTCTGTAGGCATGGGAACTGTCTTTGGGGGCCATGGGGGCATGGCCCCATAGTTCGGTGCGGGGGCCAGTTGGACGAGTGCTAGTTGAGTATGTCTGGTTTTGAAGGGGAGACCGAAGGAAAACCCTGCCATTTTGGGGTCCCTCGAAAAAAGACGCACCTCGTTGGGTGTGGCCGGTTCGCCAGGTTGTGATCTTCCCGAAAGACTCGGTGTGTGACAACTTCTACCAGGAGATTGCGTGGTGCACCTACCCCAAAATGGGATGCCATTGGTTTTGACCCACAGCCACTTGACAACTCGCCTGGAATCCCGGAAGGAACAAGAAAGGAAGGTTCCTCTCCCGAGAAAACCAACCAAATAGGGAAGACGTGAGGAAAAGTAGAGGGCTTCCGTTCCAGCCCCTAATCAGCCATTTTGATTCTTAGCCATTGGTTTTGAAGGGGAGACCTCTGCAAAGCCCTGGTTTTGAAAACATGACATACTGTGGATCGGCGAAGTCCATTCGCGCCACTTTGAAACCATGATGTTTGTTGTTTCCGAACGTGCGATTTCTGGATTTTGCGCCCATCTACACTAAGGTCCGCATTTCAGTTGTTTTTTCTTTTCCGGGCCCCAGACACCCAACAACCTGCTTGCCGAAATGAGTGGCAAAGGGCGATTGATTGGACCACAGGGACACCTTCTACGGACGTTTCTGAACCTAGGATGACCAAGGATAAGACTCCTTTTTTTGGGATAAGGGACATAGATTCCGCAAACCAACCGTGCCCGATGTTAATACCGAGGTGGGTGCGCCATTTCTTGGAAGGTACCCTTTCCGGGTCAAATTGATTGAAAACCACAACCAACTGGGACCTGAAGAATGGGTCCCTTTGTTTTCCTTTTTGTTTCCCCATTGAAGGCAGGAAAAGGTGGGTGCCAGCCCAAAGACAGGCCCTTTAGGCACACGCGAGAGAAGCCCATGCCGCCGCAAGCGAAGACCAGGAACTCTTGAAGTGGCCCACGCGCTGGCGCCACTTCTTTTGCTTCCTGCGACCGGCGGAGGCGAGGCCTCGCCATTCCCTGCGCGCGTCACTGAACTTCCAAAAGCGGCCGCGGCCAGTAAATTGATCAGCGTTTGAAGGGAAATCCAGTCATCCATGCAGAATTCTGGGCAGGTGGTTTGTTTGTTTTCTACGCTGGGGGGGGTGCCATATGGATTTGGACGGTCCACAATTCGTGGCTGGTTTGCGGGTTCTTGTCAGGGGTGGTTGCCTATAACGGGTGTGTCAACTTCCCAGTAAAGCAGCCACCACAAGGGTACCCTCAAAATCACACACACACACACGTGGAGAAGATGTGGAGATGTGGAGAGGATTTGAAGGGCGCCCCAAAAAGGTGACTCTTCAGACAGCCTCGCAGGTAGAGCTTTTTTCCCCCGAAGGTTTCGTTGACATATCGGCTATGAATCAAAGCAACTGGCTGGGTGAAATGAGCCCTTTGAGAGACTCATGCTACTCATATCACTCGGTTCAGTGGCAACAGCTGTTCATAAACCGTTCATTTCTCCAGTTCCAAAAACATATGCTCTAATTCCATTTCCCTGTCTTGTAGGTAAGCAAGGGAACCGCCCTTAAACCAATAGGAAAATGGCCTGTTGCCTGCTACAGTGGTGGCTCTAAATGGGGCTTCGATGGACCAAAGAGCAATTTCGCGAGACAGATGAGACCTAAGTCAGCAATAAAAATACCTTACTCAATACCTAGGGAGTAATTGCCAGTAAAAAAATGGCCCAAGAGGGAGTCAAATTAGATGATGATTGCTCCTGAAGGGTATATCAACCCAACCATCGTTGTAATGGTGGTTTGAACCCTAGGGCAATAATTTGTTTGGACAATCTCCCCTCATGGCAAATGGCGGAGGATTCATGCCTCCAGAATCCATCAAGAACTGGCGAACATGGAGGGCCCCCAACTTCTTGAAGGACCCCGATTTCTTGGGCTTCTCCGTTTCTTTTCTGGGATTCCCCGAACCCCCCCCCCCCAGTAACAATGGGCTTCTCCGGTTTTGGGCTTCCCCTTTTTCCCCAAAGTTCCTCTATCTCATTTTCTTCGAGGTGCCCAGGCGGTAATTTCGGAACCCGGGGCCCTCGCGGCGCGCGCTGAAAGCTTCTTCGCGCGGCAGGCGTCCCTGGCCAGCGGCGCAAAGGACTGGCGCCGGAAGAGGTTCGAGGCCGAAGGCTCAAGCCGCCGCTCGAAAGGGCGACTCTGTCTGGTGGTCCAAAACCTCCGGCGCCTTTGGGTCGTTGTGAACTTGGTTAGTTGGGTTGCCCAAGATGGGGTGTCATTTTAGAATAATTAGGGCCTCAACAAGAGTACAGACGCGTTTGGGCGCGCCTTTCTTTTTAGGGCCTTTGTTTCGTGGTTGTCCTTTCAGTTTGTGCTTCAAAAAGCCCACCAACAAAGGGGGTTCCCTTCGTCTTGCCCATTTGAGTTTGAGGTCTGGGACCTCAACAATGACCGATCTCGAGCAGAGGTGCCGACTTTGGACGAATCGATCGAAGCACGCAGAGCGAGGTGTACCATGAGCCACGGGGGGGTCGAAACACGTCGTGTTTTGAGCATAGCATGCTCGCCGCTGTGCTCTCGAATTGAGGCTTAAGGAATATCCTGCATTGCGAGGCTCGGATACATGAGTGCGAGCTACAAGGCAGGCAAGGCAGACTGCTTTCTGCAATTCGGTTCTCAGGTTCTCAGCGTTATTGCCACTTGGTTCCAGAGGGCCCTTGCTGGAGCCATGGAGCACGTGGTTTTCAGTCAGCTGAATGCGCTGGATGATGCCACCTTGGCGTCTTGTCGGCGTGTCCCCAAAAAACCAGGGGACCCGGCCCCGATTGTCCTATTGTTGGGGACAGGTTTGATAATTTTGGCCGTTGCTATGAGAAACGCAGCGGCTAGTTTGGCAGGGGCGCGGGGCCCAACACGAAGCTTCAATTACGAATTCTCTATTCTCTCTCATGTGTGTGTGTGTGTTGCGGGTAGCACCTTTGCGCCATGTTGGGTGTCCACAAACGACAGTCACCGATGCATCCTTGGAGCCAAAGTTGCATCTCCGAGATGTTCGGAATTTTGGGGCGGATGGCCTTCCGCCGAACGCCTTCCGCTTAGGCGACCATCATCACAGACTTGGTGCGCGACAAGCCTGAGCTGGCACCGGCGCTGGTGAGCTTAGCAGTTCCCGCCCCTTCTCGGGATGGACTTCTCATGACCCATTTGTTCGTTGGTTCAATTCGTTACCCGGTTTGTGACCATCGATTTGTCAAAAAAAGAACGGCCTGGGGGTCGAAACATGGTGTTCGGGTCCGAGTAAAAAACACATCATACACACTAGCTTGGTTCAAAGGGAAGCCAAAAGGACAGCTGTCATTTGGAGGGGGTCCCTTTGAGACACAGCGCCGTTGCGTCCCGCACCCGCCCATTCGAGTGATCAGATGGGAAAGCTTGGATGCTCAGGATCTGACCTTTGCACCGACCAAAGCTCTGATCGGCGAGGGCGCTCGATGTACGGGCACCATCAAGAAATCCCCGGCAGACTCTTGAATGACATATAGATATGGCGCAAATGAGCTATGGTCAGAATTAACAAAGCCAAAGGGACACACCATTTGTCCTTTTTGAGGCTCCTCAAAATGGGCAGGCCCATGTGTGTGGTCAAAAGCTTGTTACTTGTGGGTAGGGATGATCCTCCACCTCGTGAGTGGGCTCTAGACAGCCAATATAAAGTTGCCTAAGGGACACACAAGGAGCTTGAACCACGGCATGAGCGCCAAAAGAGCATCCTGATTGTTGCTAGTGAGGCCAGCCTCTTTACGTCCAAAATGGGCGGAAGCACATTCCACATTCATCACCGACTCCTACAGATGGAGTTGATACGGGGAAGAATGTCGACCCCGCAACTGGGAGAATGTCGACCCCGAACCTGGGGTCGATTTTTTTCTGGGGTTCCCACAGGAACTGGGCTTCGGGTTTATCGACTGCCCCGATCTGAACTCGGTCTTCGGCTGCGATGTGGTGGTCTTCCCGCAGCAGGCATCTGAAAGCCAGCGCGCCTTATTCTTGGAATCGGGCGGAGGAATCTTGAGGCTTCCAACCCCCCGGAAATTTTCGTTCCGGAGGGTTCCATTCTCTTGGGCTGTTGGGGATTCCTCCTGGGCTTATATATATATATATACACATACATGGTATGTTTGTTGGGGGGGTATGGTTCCCCTAAATTTCAACCGATTCTCATTAAAAGAAGGGCCCAAGGGGAGGCCAATTCTAAGAGTCGGAAGGCATTTGTGGACGTGAATCGCCAAATTTTGATGATTTCGGGTCCCTAAGCACAAATCATGCCCACATTTTGAGAGTGACTCCGATTGGTTCGAGAGAAAACGTCTGATTTCGGCCTTTGCGGCCTTTGCTGCCAAATTTTCTTGCTTTGAAATGCTTAAATCACTGAGGCCGAGGCTTCATCAGAAGGGGCCTGAGCACACACACGGCTTTGGGGCATATTTTGTCTGGCCTTTTAACGGCCGTGGCAGAAAGGCTGCAAACGGATTGCTCCGGTGGCTCGCGAGGTGTTTTTGGGAGGTCGAGCTTGGCGGTTCCGATGGGACTTGAAGCATTCTGTTCATCCTCTCCAATGGGAAGGAAGCTGACTGAGGTCAGGTACAGGAAGGAACGGGAGCGAGCGCGCCATGGTGGGGACCCGGGAAGGATGTTTCAGCATTGACTATCATGGGAAGCCATTCAACCGGAATTGGGGGGCAGGGTGGGGTGGGTTGCCACTTTTCTTGACCCGTGAGTTGGTCAACAAGGGATGCACCAAAACATGGTAACAAGAGGATGCTGGTTGGACAGTGAGTGAGAGAAAATGCTGAACGACAAGCAAGCCGGTGTAGATGTGCTGTGAGGCCACAGCCTGCTTTGTCCATCGTAAGCTACGGTCAATTTGGTAGGGACATTGGGGGGACTCACTAAATTCCCTACAGCGAAGCTAGTTTCGAGAGAATTTGACAGGGCTCCTTAAAAGATACATGTTGCCCATTTGAAACATGGCTTTTTCCACCAAAATGAAGGGACACCACGATTTACAAGGCAATGTTCAAGTGCATAATGTAAGGATCCCTGTTTGATTTGTCTGCGTCTCAAGTGAAGATCATTCCCTACCGCTCGCAGGTCGGCACGTTGACCGAGGGTCAACGTGTGAATTTTGTCCGTGCCTTATGGCCCAGCGTGGCAATAGTGCCCGGTGGGCAATTCGAGATGTGGCGGTGAAACTTGACAGGGCATGCCTTCCCAAATGCTTGGTGGACAAAATCCCCGCCAAGATGATGTCCACAAAAGGGTCTCCAATTGAACTTTGTACTCCTATTAGCCATGATCAAAAGTCTCAGTTACTTGGGGTTAGGGGCTGGTCATGGACTCGGAAGGGGTTTTGGACAATCGTTAGACGGGTTCTTAAGGGAGCCATGACTCGACCAGAGCCATCTTTGTCATGTGTCGCGGCCTTGACACTGTCGACTCTGAGGCTGTTACACTGAATGAAGAGAACAAGCCGCAAGCCTTTGATTTGGCGGAAGAGGAATCTCAAGATGCACTAAAAATTCCTTGCTCCGCATGCGGCTTGCCGCATGTTCTTTGAGTGGCCTCTCTTGAGGCGCTTTCTTTGCTTTTTTTTCCGACTCAGGAGCCCAAAGGCATGATGATGATGAATCCCATGGGTGGCTGCTCTATGGGCTCCATGGGTAGTATGGGCATGGGCATGGGCATGAATGGAGGGGGCATGGATGCCACTGCTGCTATGGCGAAGTCTGCCGCGCGGCCGCCCCCGCGCCTTTTATGCAAGACCGACGCAATCCCATGGGTGTGACACGTGTTTGGGTGTATGTTTGTGTGCGTGTGTGAACGTGTGTATGTGTGTATGGGTGTATGGGTGTGTGTGTGTGTGTGTGTGTGTGCGTGTGTGTTTGTTTTTGGCGGGACCCGAAGTGGTGAACATCGTTCACGTGGGATTTTGTCCGCCGACCACCTTGAGGGTTCCAATTTCAAGCTCATGCGCATATGGGGTTGTCTCAAAATAGACACGCCCATACTTTCGTCAATTTCTTTCGGGCTGCTCTTGGCTTGGAAACCACGGCCTGCATCCCTGGAGAGGCTTTAAAAGGAAAGTACAACTTGCTTGCAGGGTCTAACTGGGTGCATGCATGTTTTGAGGCTCAGTACCCTTGTCAGGTTGGTTTCATGAGAAACCAAGAGGAAATCCGCACATGGTCTCTTTTTGAGGGTGCCCTTTTTTGGTGGTTTTGAAGGCAAACCAGAAGGACATCCGCCCATTTTGTGGGTCAATTTCCTAAAAACCGACGAGCGACGCATATCCAATTCGATTTCTGCTGCAGTGCCGCGAGTCCAGCGTTGAAAGCTGCGACTGGGACTCAGGAGCCAAGACTTTGGGCCTCCTGATCAAGAGCTTGGAGTCTTCGCCTTGCACTGAGTCGCATTGCTGGAAGGCGTCAGTTGGAGGTGTCCTTTAATTCTTGGGCGTTTTGGGGGGTGGTTAAACGGATTGAAACCCCGCCTTTCTTAAGGGGCCCCCCTCGATTTCTGAGACACACCCTGTTGGGGGAGTTTTGTTGCAGCGCCGGCTTGTCCCTTGGTTGGAATCCGTTTGATTGTGACCCGTATCAGAGCGTCCCAAGAGGGAAGTTGTCTTCCGGGCCCCGCCCCCAGTCAGGTAGGTTGGTGGGAGGGTTGTGGTGTTTGTTTAGGGAGGATATGGGCCCGTGCAGATTTCCCCATCTGCTGGACACCAGCTCATTTGCGTCTCATGTAAAGGATGGTGCAAGAACGGTTTGTCATTGGCCTGCTGGGTTTGCTCAGCAAGCAACTTCCCTGAACGGATGGTGGGTTGTGATTGGCTTCCGTAGGGATTTGTTGCAATGTGTTTTTGATGGTTTGCATGAAATAGCGGCAACACAGACTGAGATGGAAGGAATGTTTGACCCTGAGGGGAGTTCATCGACTCTCATGTGGCAGCTGCTGCTTCGAGTCGCTCCAAAGGATGACCAGCTTGAATGGCCCTAAGCTCTCTTGTTCAAAGCTCATGCCGGTTTTTCCCTTTTGGGGGAAATCATGTTGCACCCAGAATCAGGCCGTTGGCCACCCGAAAACCGCCGCTTTTTGGCGAAACCCGCAACGCCGCTTTGGCCCGAAACGTGTGCCATGCGCTTTCGCTAAAGCGCTGAGGTCGGACACTTCAAAGTCTGGCAGGCTGAAAAGGGCACCGGCCGCCGGGCGGCAGTCGGATGTCGAAGGGGGTGCCTCCCACTGCCGGGTTCCACTTTTGGATTGTCACAAGACAGACTCAAACCCAGGGATGCATCTTCCTAAAGGGAAAACCTTGGCAAGTCTTCCTTGGGGTAGGATTGTGACAAGGAAGACTCAAAAGTCAGGGGTTCATTTTCCCCGCAACAAAAAACCGTTGATTTTTAGCCT